AAAGCTGGTTCCTTTAAAAGATCAATAAAAGAAGACCACTAGCAGGACTGAGAAATTTTAAGAGGAGTGATGACACAAATTACCAATATCAGGAATAAAAAGAGATTATCACTATAGACTTTGCTGACATCAAAAGGGTAAAGGAGTACTATGGACAACACTTTACACACAAATTTGAAAACTAGATAAGATGAACTAATTCCTTGAAAATCACAAACTACCACAATGCACTCAATATGAAATATATTTTTCTATAACCCTATAACTACTAAGGGATTTAAATTTGTAACATAAAAACAAAACAAACAAATGAAACAAAACAAAACCCAGACTCTTGGGGTTCAAGAAAGTTTCACTGGAGAATTCTCTTCTCCCCACCCCCCACTGGACACGAAGTCTTCCTCTGTCTACCAGGCTGGAGTGCAGTGGCACGATCACGACTCACTGCAACCTCTACCTCCCAGGTTCAAGAGATCCTCCTGCCTCAGCCCCGCAAGTAGCTAGGATTACAGGCACGCAATACCAAGCCCCGCTAATGTTTGCATTTTGTAGAGACTAAAAACACAAACATTTCGCTGTGTTTGTTTCACTGCGTTGGCAAGGCTGGTCTTGAACTATTTTATTTTATTTTGTTTTGTTTTATTTTATTTTATTTTACTGAGACAGAGACTCACTCTGTCACCCAGGCTGGAATGCAATGGCACAATCTCAGCTCACTGCAACCTCTGCCCCCAGGGTTGAAGCCATTCTACTGCCTCAGCCTCCCGGGTAGCTGGGATTACAGGCACCTGCCACCACACTCGACTAATTTTTTGTATTTTTATTAGAGATGGGGTTTCACCATCTTGGCCAGGCTGATCGTGAACTTCTGACCTTGTGATTCACCTGCCTCAGCCTCTCAAAGTGCTGGAATTACAGGGAAGAGCTATTGCAACCAGCCTTTAAGTCTTGACCTCGTGATCCATCCACCTCGGTCTCCCAAAGTGCTGGGATTACAGGCATGAGCCACCACACTCAGAGCTCACTGGAGAATTCTAAGAAATGCTTAAAGAATTAATACCAACTCTACACAATCTACTTCAAAAAACAAAAGAGGATGAAAAACTTTCCATTCATTTATGAAGATAATGTTATCCTGATGCCAAAACCAGGTAAATACACTACAAAAAATGAGTAGAGGTGAATATACTTAACAAAATATTACCAAATAGAATTCAGCAATAGCTAAACAAATTATACACCATGATCAAGTGGGGTTTATTCCAGAGGTGTAGGACTGGGTAAATTTGGACAATCACTGTAATCTACCATATTTATAGGTTTAAAAATAAAATCATGTGATCATATTAAAGTAGAAAAGACATTTATTAAACTTCAATATCTATGATAAAAAGTCTCAGAAAAATAGAAATACAGAAGAACAGCTAACACTGTACTTCATGGTAGAAGACAATGTTTTTCCCCTAAGGCAGTGAAGAATACCAAGGCGTCCACTCATACTACTCTTATTTAACTTAGTGCTAGAAGTTCTAGCCAGTGCAATGAGGCAAGAAAAGGAAATAAAAGACATAAAGATAAAAGCCAAAAAAAAGCAATCTGTTCCTCTTGGAACTAAAAATTTAGTTCAGCAAGGTCATAGAATAAGAGAAAAGTCTACAAAAATAAATTATATTTCCAAATAATGGCAATGAACATTTAATTACTACAAACTATTTTAAAATGTAATACCTTTCAATGTAATACCATATATTTCCAAATAGCTAGAAAAGAGGACTTTGAATATTCCCAATACAAAGAAATGACAAATATCTGAGGCAATGGATTTGCTAATTGCCCAGATTAAGCATTACATATTGTACATATGTTTAAAAATATATCTCTGTATCCCATAAATATGTGCAATTATTATGTCAAATAAAAATAATTTTAAAACCACAGTATCATATATAATCCCTGACAAAATAGAAATACTTAGATGTAAATCTGACACAACCTGAGTAAGACTTGTATGCTGAAAATTACAGAACGTACACAATGCCGGTGAAAGAAGTCAAAGAAAACCCACACCAATGGAGGGATGTACTACATTGTTCACACTTCACAAAACTCAGCATGGTAAAGACGTCAGTTCTCCTCAAACTGATATGTAGGTTTATTGAAATTCTTATCAAAACCCAAGCAAGACATTTATTGATATAAACAAAATTATTTAAAAATTTATTTATTTATTTATTTATTTATTTATTTATTTTGAGGGGGAGTTTCACTCATGTTGCCCAGGCTGGAGTGCAATGGCACGATCTCGGCTCACCGCAACCTCC